GCGAACCTCCGGTTCCCAAGCCAAGTCCCTACACACTGAGCTACTGCCGCCCCAATTAGTCAACAACATGTGTTTCAAACAAGACACAAAAAAATGATTCATCACCAGCTGCATAAAAATAGAATACTCTTTTATTTAATATTATTTATTGATTATGTTGTTTAATCACATATTATTTTATCCAATTAAGTCTCTCCATGATGCATATACCGGTAGTCTCACATCTCTGTAATGCTTTCAGATTCGTGCTGAAGCAGACTATCTTTTTATGATGGACATCGACAGTGTCTTCCACAACCGTTTTGGGGCCGAGTCTCTCAGTCAGCTGTCGGCTGTGCTTCACCGTGGCTACTACAAGGTTTTACTCTTTTTCCTACAGTATATTAATTTCAACTTCATGGAGGTTTTTACTTATTTTATCTTAATTATTATGTAATGTGATGTATTTTTTTTTTTGTCCTTACATTGTATGTTTTCATTAATTACCTATTCGGATACTACAGTAATTTTTTGAATGATATTGCCTCATTTTATAATCAGTCATAGTATTAACTGGCCTCACAGGTATCAGCTATAGCCTCTCATCATTGGCAATCCTTATTTTATTTCTTTTTTCCCTTCTTTTTCTTTCACAGAATACAAAAAGGGATGGCTTTCCATATGAGCGTCGGCCCAAGTCCAAGGCCTACATTCCTATTGGTGAAGGAGACTACTACTACACTGCTGCTGTCTGGGGTGGATACCTGGAGGACATGTACAAGCTAGTCAAGTAATCAAAATAAAATTATCTTTTAAGTACGGAAAGAGATGGTAATGATTGGACAAAGCAAGAGCTGACATGTGGTGGGCATTTAGATACTAGGCTGGTAAAAACCCTCTAAAAACACTGTAGTCACTACACTATTTTTTTTTGTCCAAAGGTGACGGTTCAGCAAGTCCATTACAGGTTTTTTTAGATGAATGCTACAATAAATGTAACAAGTTTTGTTTGTTTCATTACTAAATTTTACTCATTTAACTTAACATGACTTTTTTTTCAGATACTGCTACACACAATCAGAGGAGGACTCCAAGAATAACATTGAAGCTGTGTGGCAGGAAGAGAGTCACCTCAACAAGTACAGTACCACAAATCATTCCCTCATTTTCAGTGATTTTCCTACTTCACCTTTTTTGTACAAATTTGAATAGAATCCAACCTGCTATATAGATAAAGAACATCCTAATTTCTTTCTATTTACAGGCTTTTCTATTTGCTTTTTTCTTGAACTACTTCAATTGATTAGATTTAAGTTTATTTTCTTCTGTAAAAGGACAATCTTACGACGATCTTATCTACAGAATTCCTGAGATGCATAGTTAATCTCCCTGTCTCTCTGTCATGCAGGTACCTGTTGTACAACAAACCAACCAAGGTGCTGTCTCCAGAGTACCTGTGGTCAGACTATGATAAGGTACCAGCAGACATTAAACTCGTCAGGATCTCCCAGTTGGTCAAGAACTATGCAGAAGTGCGGCCCAATGGTGGACAGTGATGTCAAGTCAATGATATCCAGGACAATGGTATATGTGACAGCCTATCATATAGTCATATAGTACAAATGAAGGGTTTAAAGAAATATCAAATAAGTGAATTCAAATCTTGGTCCCCTGTATGATTTATACAAGATGAAATGTGTATGTTTTATAGCATGGGGTTCTTCATCTCTGCTTAATCACTCTTGCTTTTTTTTTGTTCTGGGTTTCAGGATGCCTTAGCATCAATTATAGCTTCCTTACACTTCCTACACACCATCTATGTTTTTTGTAAAGTATAGAACACAGAAAAAAAAGGATTTTTATGGTAAACTGCAGCCTAAAAAGAAAGTGTTGGAAAGATTTACATTATAGACCATGCTTGTGACTTTTGTAATTCAGACAGTAAACACTATTTACAGTAATTTCTTACACCTATTTTGGGTAAATATACAGTTATATGCAAATGTTAATTTTATGTTCATTTTATTTTTAATTTTATTTTTATGGTTAGGGTTTTTATTTTTGGTTTAATGTATGTAATGTATGTTTTGTATTTTTTATGCTACTGGATACTTGAATTTCTTTCGGGATAAATAAAGTATCTATTTATCTATCTATGTTTGGCCACACCTTGACAAATAACACATTTTGGTGATTTTTTAAAAATTTTTTAAGATGTAAACACTGTCTCTTGAGAGCATATTTGCAGCAAACATCAATGTATTGTTTCATTTTATTTCACAAATTGAACAAAAATAAAAATACTATTGTGGCATGTGCAAATGTTTGACCAACCTAAGAGTTCTGCAGTCTCAGATTCTTTTTACACGGTCTCAGACCATCATCATCTCACTAGGCCTGAGGTATGTCAACAATTGTGATTAGGAAGTGTCACTTGGTGCCAATTTCAAAGCAAAAGGGGGGGGGGCACGGGGGAAATATTAGTCAGAAAAACAGGAAAATAAATTACTCAGAAAAACAGGAAA